CGCGCTTAAAGGCGTAGGCAGCGCCCCCCCCCACAAGGCGCGCCCCTAGCCCCACCTCCCATGGAGTAGCCCGAGCGCTGCTGGGAGAGAAAATCCCTGGATAAAGACCCACAGAGACGCTGAAGCAAATAGACAGAGATAGAACAGAGATGGAGACAGAGACAAAAAGAAGATGGGCAGGCTTAGACTGAGACGGGGGTAGAATGGGAGACACAGAAATATAAGAAAGAAAAATGGAAATACCTAGAGACAGTGAGAAACTCAGAGACAGAGACAAGAGGCAAAGACAACTCCACACACACACAAGAAAGAGGCAAAGGCAACTACACACATACACACACACACACACACACACACACACACACACACACACCATGCAGCGCCTGAAGCAAGTCAGCTGTGAAAATGGCTATGTACCTATGTGTGTCCAGTGCTTTCATCGCCTTCAACATAGCCCCCCACCCTAGACCCACACACATTTGTCTCTCGTCCCTCCAATCTCAGCACCACCTCCCTGGGATGTCTCTCCCACAGCAGAAGTCTCCTTATTTGGGCTCTGTCCAGCAACAGGTCTGTTCTTTTAGGTCTTTCGGTTGGAAAGAGGAAACTTGAGACTAAGACCCTGTACCCTCTGGGATTAGGGATAGACCTCAAGATACACTGGCCAGATGTTCTGGGGAGGAGAGGGAGAGAAGCTAAGAAATAGGTCAGAGGCAGAAGTCTGGCTAGGTGGTCCAGAGAAATATGTTCAATGTTTTCTCTCTGAGCTCCACTCCCACAGAAGACTCTGGTTGGAGTTGTGCCAACACAGGACTCGAGAGAAGTGTGAGAGGGCAGGGGAAGCAGAGGTGGGTGGTCCTACACTCTCCTGGCAGATGCTGTCTCAGGAAGAGGGTATGGGAGATGGTCCAGAAACTTGGCCAGGGAACTTCATTGTAGCCATGTGGGATACATGATACTCTGGGTGATCTGAGGTGGACATGGTCCTAGAAAGCCACCCCCAGGAATCCCATGTGAGCAAAGGACTATTGTGACCTTGGTGGTGGCATACGAATGCCTGTCCACCCTGGTGCCCCTAGCTCCGTTGAAGGTATCAGAATACACTTTTGGCTCCTTCCATTTATTGTCTATTGAAAAATTGCAGCTAAAATTAACTCAGCCCTGGGGCCTGCCTTTCCAGATCATTAGTAAAGTCCATCAGCACTCCTGGCCCAGCACAGCAGGTACTGGACACTTGGAAGCTCAGGAAAAGACTGCTTCAGAGCTACCGAAAGCAATGAAGCTGGGGAGACAGAGGGACCGATGTGGGGACCATCCTGAGGAGCAGGACTGGAAGATTCAGTGGAACGGCCTGATTTGGGGACCATTCCCAGGAAACTGAGGCAGAGATGAGAGAAGAGTTGGGCAGGGAAGAGAGACAGCTAACAGATTGTACTAATGAGGAAAAGGCAGACTCTCTGGACAGTGGGAGGGCAGTTCTTCCGGTGAACTTTAAGGAACCTTTCAGAACACATCAGAATTGCCGGGCTGATGCTGCTGATCCAGGGAGTGCACTTGGAGGCCCATGGGGCTAACTTGGAGGAGCGTCTGCAATGTGCACAGAACACAGAGCTGCCCGTCTCATCTTTGCTGAAATCTAGTAGGTGGAGGGGATGGATGTCAGCCCAGGTTTGACAGAAACAGGGAGGTAGAGGAAGGATGCTGCCATTAGTTCAGCAGTTACTATAGATGTCCCAGGATGGTGATGTTAACACTTGTGATGGTCGATCTTGAGAGTCAGTCAGATTGGACTAAGAAATGCTCATTAGGGGCTGGAAGATGGCTCGGTGGTGAAGAATGTGTACTTCTGTTGCAAAGAACCTGAGTTCAGTTCTTAGCACCCACATCTGGTAACTCAGCTTCAGGGGATCCAGCACCTTCTTCTGGACTCTGTGGGCAACTGCATCCGCATATACATATCTACACACAGACACATATACATACACATAATTAAAAAGAAAATAAACCCAGGCTAGAGAGATGGCTGTTATTAAGAGCACTGGCTGCTCTTGCAGAGGACCCGAGTTCAGTTCCCAGAACCCATGTGGTGGTTAACAACCATCTGTAACTCCAGTTCCAGGAGATCTAATGCCCTCTTTTGACCTCTGAGGGCACTGCAGGACATAGGTGCACTTACACATATGCAGGCAACACTCATACACATAAAATAAAAAAATAAAATATTTAAAAATAAGAGGCCAGGCATGGCGGCACATGCCTTTAGTCCTAGCACTTGGGAGGCAGAGGCAGGCAGATCTCTATGAGTTCAAGGCCAGCCTGATCTACATAGTGAGTTCCAGGCCAGCTGGGGCTACGAGACCAAGAGATGTGAGCTCAAGGTCAGCCTGTCTACATAGTGAGTTCCAGGACAGCTGGGGCTATTAGGAGACCCTGTCTCAAAAAGACAAAAAATAAATAAATAAATAAATAAATAAATAAATAAATAAGAAAAAGCAGATTGGATTGTGTGTGTTGGTAAGGGTGTTTCCAGAGACTATTGGGTCACAAGGGCTCTGATGTAATGAATGATCTAATCCAGTGATGATTTTAAAATTTGAGTAGATTTTTGGAAGGTGGTAGAAAAGTGGGGCCCTTGACTCAAGGAAGTAGGCCACTAGGGGCCTATCTTTGGGGACTATATCTTGTCTTATCCCTTCTTGTTACAGCTTTCCTGTTTCCTGTCCACAATGTGAGCCTATTGTCTTTGCTTCCAGTCTGTCATAAGGTGAGCAATTTTGTTCACACTCTTCCACCACCAGGATGTTCTGTTTAAGCACACAGGGCCAAGATACCCTGGATGGAACACTCTGAAACCATGAGCCCAAACAGACCTTTTCTCGTTTGTTTTTTATGTATATTTATGTGTGTACATGTACATGTATGTGTGTGTGTGCTCCTGGAGGCCAGAGGAGGGGGGTTAGATCCCCTAAAACTGGAATTATAGGCAGTTGCAAGCTGCCTGACATGGATGTTGAGAGCTGAACTTATGTCTTCTGCAAGAGCAGCAAGCACTTTTAAGCACTGAGTCATCTCTCCAGCCCCCAATCTTTCTTCCCTTTTTTTTGGTCTCCCTGTAGTCCCAGCTGACCTGAACTTACTATGTAGACCAGGCTGGCCTTGAACTCACAGCCATCTGCCTGCCTCTGCTTCCTGAGTGCTGGGACCAAAAGTGTGTGCCACCATGCCCAGATCTTTCTTCCCTTTAAAAAAATATTTTATTATTTTATGTGAATGAGTGTTTTGTCAGCATGCATGTAAGTGCATTGCTTATATGCCATGCCTACAGAGGCCAGAAAAGGGTGTGTGTGTGTGTGTGTGTGTGTGTGTGTGTGTGTGTGCTTGTGGAGGCCAGAAGAGGGTGTCAGATCCCCTGGAACTGGAGTTACAGACAGTTGTTAGCTGCCATGTGGGTGCTGGAAGAACAGCCAGTGCTCGGACCCGGAGCCATCCCTCCAGCCCTTGTTGTTTTTCTCAAGTGTTGGGTCACCATGACAGTCCAGGTCTTGCTTTCTTTTGAACTCACATTCTAAAAGAGACAAGTCACATCTTCAGACAGCCCAGAGGGGTCAGGGCTAGAGTGGCAGAAGCTTGACCTAGGCAGACTGAGGCTATGATGAAGCAGCTCAGGCCATGATGGACAGGCCTGTGACAGGGACAGCACGGAGCAAAATAATAAGTACTTGGTGTCAAAACACAGACCAGAGTGGTTCAGGTTCTGACTAGGGAAGCAGAGGGGTGTGGGATAGAGTCCAATCCCTCCTCCAGACCTCAAGCCAGGAAGGCTTCCTAGAATAGGAGACGGTTGTGCAGAGACCCCAGAAGTCCATGTGAGCAGGTGAGGAAGGGACCCCTTCTGCAGCTTGCCTGAGCCTTCATGCCATCACATGTATAGCCTGGGGGTCTCTGGGTGTCTGGATTGCACCATGTGGGTCTGCACATGCTGTAACCCCTCATTAGCTCCTGAAAGGGAATCCTGGTGGGATGGCTATTTGGGGGACTCTGCTTAATTGCTGCATTTGCTTAATTGCAGCATCTGGAGAGGAGGACAGAAGCAGCAGAAAGAGTAGAAAGAATGAGGTTAAACTGCTGAGAGCTGAGGAGGCCTTGGGGAAAGGAGACTGCTCCTCTCTATGCAGAGTCTAATGCACACTGAACTTGTCCCGATATGCACAGAGGCACCCAGGGGACATACTCGTATTCGTGCATGCATGCACGCTGTGTACTCTGAGGGTCACTGGAACACATATATGCAGGCATACATTCAGATACAGGGACACACCTCTGAAACACATCCTTGTACCAGGTATATGTGAGGTCATGTGTGTAGAATCAACACTCTACACGCAGATTCTTCTCCACCCACCCAGGTCCATCTCACAAGGAACACATTCAGAGACACATCAAACACTCACAAGGGCCAGGCATGGTGGTATACCCCTTTAATTCTAATGCTTGGGAAGTGGAGGCAGGAGGATCAGTTCAAGGTCATCCTCTGCTCTGTGGTAAGTTTGAGACCAGCCTGGCTACATGAGACCCTGTCTCAAAAAAACAAAAAAACAAAAAAAAAAACCCAAGTCCTGGGCTGGAGAGATGGCTCAGCAGTTAAGAGCACTGACTGCTCTTGCAGAGGACCCAGGTTAGATTCCCAGCACCCACATGTGGCTAAGAACAGTCCTTAACTCCAGTTCTAAGGGATCCAGCACCCTCTTCTGACCTCCGAGGCATTGCACGACATGGGTGAATTCATTTACATGCAGGCAATACACTTGTACACATAAAATAAAAATAATAAATGTTTTAAAAAACCAAGTCCTTTTTGCACTCCTGCTGGATTTGTAGGAAGCAGGCATGGCCTAGACATGTCAAACAATGTGGGAGTTCTGTACATGCCTCGGAAATGTTCCTTGAGCAACTGAGTCATTGGTGCAAAGGACCATGCATCC